AAATCCTTAAGCATTGTATCATTTTGTGTTACTTAAATCTGTGTTTTGAGCCGGTTAATAAATGATTCTGTGTTTTGACATAGAATTCAATACATACAATGACATTATCCTGAAGAATTTTATTCTTAAAGGATGGTTAAAAACCCAGTTGTTTCCTTTAGGGTCATTTTGTAAAAGACAATCATTGCATTGGAATATTTTCAATTTGATTTTCTTTTTCCTCTTTTTTTTCATCTTTTTTTTTTCCTTTGTGTTTAAAATCATACCTTTGTGTGGGATATAACAGGATTTATGACTTGATTCTATCCTAATGGAAAGATCATGAGAATTTCGTGATGTACTGGTGAGGTAAATCCACGTGCAGAAGTCTTTTCCTGCGTTAGACAGTGTTCGCCTTGTAAATCCTTGAGCCATATTCTTGTACTTGCAACACAGTTCAAGTAGTGAAGAAAACATAGATTTGGTTTTTTTTAATTTCTTCAGATGCTTTCCAGTGGATTTATTGGCATATTTGCTTACCTAGTCTTGGAAGACAGTGATTTGCATCAGTTAGGAGTAAGTGATGTGCAGTGTTAATCATAGTTACCTGTGGAGGGAAAAATATATGTTGGCATTGATTAAAGATATTTAATACTGGGTCTTATTTATAGCTGTATTTTCATTTCTGATAAAACAAGAAAAGTTATTTCACAGAGCCAGAGCTGAAATGTGTATTTTGTGAAGGATCACACCCCCTCCCCCCAAAATAGCAGTAAGGTGTAGTTTTAAAATTATTTTTGAGACGATTTGTATTCAAGTCTTCTAGAAACATGAACACTGAACTAGCCCATTGTAGCTGAACTTGATTGTGAACAGTGGTGATCATGAAACAGTATTTTTTGGTATAAAATTCATGTGTTCGTACATATATTTCTTCTTTACTTGTATTATGAAGTGGCCTAATAGTTCTTGGAAATAATCTCTGCCTGAGGGGTTGGAAATTGGGTTTAGCTGTATACCTAGGAGTCCTGGCAGTTTTTTTCATCTCAAAATTAGCACGAGTAGGCTCGACTCTGTCCCATCCTGAGGGGGCCTGTTCATTACAGTTGGCAATGAAGTCCCTCAGTAATCGGAACAATCCCACAATCACTTCATTTCCAGCCCTACAGAGCAGTAGAGACATCCATGAAGACAAATGTATTTTAATATGAGATTAAGGGAATTCAGGTAGGAATTGGCTCCTGTGTTAAAATCTGACTTCCAATTTTGGGAGCAACTATGAAGCTCTCACTGGATTAATATCAAATAAACTTTTGTCTACTCGTAGCTTTCTATTACAACAGATGCCACAAGGAGGACAGTGCTTTAATTGGAGTCTCCTCTCTCAGCACATAGCATTCATTCACAGCTACTTTTGATTTTTTGACTTTGTCCTGTGAACCTTCCTGATGCTTTTGGTGCCTTGCCCTGCAGCTCTGTTGTTTTTGTCAGACAGTCAGACTCGTGGTGCTGTGCAGGGTCACAGGGAAGTACCTGCACACTCTGTTTGCCCACCCTTCTTGCTTGTGCTGTGAAGTGGAACAGAGGTTTATCCCGGCAGGTTCCACCACAGGGTGTTTTGGGGTATGGAGTGTGTTGGTGTCCAGGGAGAGCAGTAACTCACCTCCCCAGCTGTGGGTTTACATCACGTTGTTTCTGCAGGGAAAAGTAGCTTAAGACATTCCTGGCTGAATTAGCCAGAAATTCGCTGGATAAATTGCTATACCCAAAGCCCAGCACTGGAAGTGCCCAGCACTCATTTCTCTCTTACACCTGGCACATGGGATACCGAGCTCTCCTTTTCAGCACAGAAGTATAGAAATTGTTTAGCCTGAAAAACGAATGGAATTTAAAATAATGGGCACAACGGCCTTAATAGTGGCTTCTGCCAGGAATGTTTCCTTTTTGGAAGCATCTGTGGTTAGTGCTTGCTCTGGGGGTTGTTACTGCTTTGTCTGTCATGTGTAATTGTGGAATAAATTTGTTTGTATTGAACACTTACCCATACTGTAAATGTGGGATGTTCAGCTGAAATGCAGCTGCTGTAGAAGTGTAAGCTGACATATATCTTAACCTCTTCCCCTTTCCCTCTCCTCCTCCCCTGCCAGGTTCTGTTGAGATTACTGGGTTGCACTGAGGTTAATACTCCGTGGGCTTGTAGGCAAAGAGCTCTTGGTGGGCTGTAAAAGCATCTGATCCGAACCGTTGTGAACTCGGAGATGCCACGAGTTTGCAAAAAGAATTCAAATTTACCGTGGAGTTTCAAAAAGCCAGCCTTGATTTTCAGAGATCTGGCTCTCGGTGTTTGCAAGAGCATTTGGGGTCATTTAAAACTAACTTTTCACCTCTTACATGGGTGATATGAGTTGAACAGAGACTTTCCAGGTAATAAAATGCTGTTTGTCAGTCAGAGTGATCTGTGAGTAGGGGGGAGAGTTGTTTAAGGTGAAAGCTGATCTTTGTGTAACTTCCAGTTTTGGGTTGTTTTTTTTTCCCCAGTAGTTAAAACAGTTGTTCATGAGTGTTTATCCCTTCTGCTGTTTTCTGGTCAGCCATGAGCATTCCAGCTTCAGCTGAAAACTACCTTCTGTCTGTCAGTAATGAAGGAAAATTCACTGCATTCCCATCTTTTGCAAAAGTGGAAGGTTTTAACTGAACCCAGTGTTTACTCATACTTGGACATGCAGTGGAGATAAATGGTCTTACACATGTTTTTGTGAGAAACCAGTTTTGATTTAAATTAGTGGTAATTGGAGAAGAGTGTTTGCATCTCCTAAATATGTAACAACTGATAACTGAGTGAAGAAATATGTCCAGATGTTATGGATATTGTATGCCTTTTAATGTTTCAAGTGTTCCTTGGTCAAAAATAATAGTGTGAGGAGCACAGGAATAACTCTGTTCACTGCCCTTTGGGAAAGAAAAGTGACCATGTTGTTGATCCCTCTGGATGTTTGCCAGGATCCATCTGAAAAGCAGGGAGAGATCAGGTCTCAACCTAGGTGAGGTCTCCCTCAGCTCATCTCCTGTGTTTGGCTTTTTGTATTACAGAAAGATGTATTACAATAAAAATCTACCTCAAATTGATAGCTTAATTATATGTAAAAGTACAGAGAATTCAATTGATTTTTAAAAATAGTTGAAATGCTTGTCACTATCTTGATTATTTTTGCTATATGCCGTAGATTAAGTCAGTATTCTTCTGTTTTAGAAACATCTTTTAAATGGAAACATTGAATTCAGAAGTGGATTTGGGATGAGACAGAACCTGAAAGCTCTGGGGCAAAAATATTTCTACTTTCTTACTTTTTTTATTCACTTTATAGAACAAGATTTGGTTTAATTGAGTGACTCCTCTAGACTGACATTTGTTACAAGGTCATGAATTATAGAATCTCAGAATCATTTCGGTTGGAAAAGCCCTCCAGGATGGTCGAGTTCAACCATTAACCCAGCCCTGCCAAGCCCAGCACTAAATCATGTCCCCAAATGCCACATCCACGTGTTTTTTGAACACTTCCAGGGATGGTGACAGGCAATAAAGGAGGAGTTGAGAGCTGGAGAGGGACGTGGATGAGGGGGAATGGCTTCCAGCTGCCAGAGGGCAGGGTTAGGTGGGATACTGGGAAGGAATCCTTCCCTGGGAGGGTGGGGAGGCCCTGGCACAGGTTGCCCAGAGAAGCTGTGGCTGCCCCTGGATCCCTGGAAGTGTCCAAGGGCAGGTTGGACAGGGCTTGGAGCAACCTGGTTCTTCACTTGTGTTTGGGTCAATGAGTTCAGACTGTCTTGGGCTTCCTTTCCCTGTGCCTTCCCAGAGGGATAATTTGGTCAGACTGTGTTCTGTGTGTTTGATGTGATGTTACAAACCCCCCTGTATTCAGATGGAAGAGATAAATGTTTTCCTTGACTAATTACCTTTCCCATGTGAGAGCAGGAGCTTCTGCAGACAAGGTAGTTTTCCATTCATGTGTGCTTGTAAGTCAGTTTTGGTCTTAATTTAGGTCTTTACCGCATATGATGAAGACAAACCCACGTGCATATGTTAAAATTTGACCTTTGGTTTGCTCTCTGCATTCACTAATGTGTTTCAAAATATTTTAATATATGGCTTCCTGGGCTCCAGATCAATAACCCAATGGGTCTGAAATGACAGAGTGCTACGATATTCCTCTGTAATTTAAACATGATTAGCTGATGAAGGTTATGATCAATATGCCAGGGGAAGATAAATTAATTGATATCATCCTTTCAGGATGATAAGAGGTCTATTGGAGGTGGGATGTAACTAATGAAGCTGCTTCTTCATATATATGAGCCATTTTTTATTCAATGTATTCTCACTAAATCATGGTTATGCCATCATTCATTTACATGAAAAACATAAGCCACGGACCAGTTTGTTATTAAAATTGCATTTGTTTGAGGAGAAACTGTGCTTACACTATCTCTGCCCATGCTGTAATGTAGTGAGGAGAAATAATCTTGGAATTTACATAATTATCTTTATGAACAAGACAGACTGACTTCTCTTGGCTTAATTGCACCAAGTTTCTGTGTGACTTTTTAAGGAGATGCCAATAATTGTCACTAGTTTTGGTGGAGGCTCAGTTCTTTTATGATGGGTCTGCTAGGCCATGCATAGAGATGTTAATGACTGAGCCCTGTATCTGTTTGATAAATGCTGCTTCTCCTCACACGCTGAAGAAAATTTCTTAATAAATTGCAGAGCAAATGAGGCATTTTTCCAGCTGTGCTGCTGCTAAGGAATAAAAGCTAAAACTAGTAATCATGGCATAGCTTCTTTCAGTAAAGATTAGACTGGGATGTGATGTGTGGCACCACCAATCCAGGTATCGTGGGTCAGGGACAGTCAGTTTTTGGAGCAGGATTTGGCAGTGGAAGCCCCTGTTTGTGTGCTGTGCACATGCCCTGTGTCCCACGTGTGCTGTCCTTACCTGCCTGGGTGTTTTGTCTCCCTGTAGTTGCTCAGAAGATCGTGTCAACCAAGAAGAAGCAGCAGCTCTCGATCGGACCCTGCAAATCTCTGCCCAACTCTCCGAGCCACTCCTCCGTGTGTTCTGCCCAGGTCTCTGCCGTGCACATCAGCCAGGTACACACTGTCACAAGTGCTTGGAAAAGGAACTGAGCAGTTGCTTTTTTCATCTGATGTGTTTAATGCCATTTAAAGTGCTCTTTTTGCTGCCTTTTTTTTTTTAATGCTATCAGTGATCCACAGTACGAAGCAATATTTAAATTTTTCTTTTTTTAAACCGGCTTGACGTTGTTTCAAGAAACAAAGGAGTAAAACAAACCAGTTTGGCTTTAAAGCCATCTTTGATGGTCCAGACTGATGTCAGCAGCCTGCAGGTCTGAGCAGACCCATTGTTAAATCCGCAGGATTTGCTGTGCTGTGGTTGTGGTGGTTCCTCTTGCTCAGCTGTGTGCTGAGCTGGCATATTCCAGTGGTGTGTGTGCTACAATTGTACATTCTGATAATACCTTGATGGTATTTTTAGAAACATACATTGGTTAACACCAATGTTTTCTAACTTGCACAGTTTTTACCCACGTGTGTTGCACACTCCCTGTGTTTCCCCTGTGATCCTCTTCCTCAGTGTCTTTGTTTCCTAGTGTCAGTTGATAATCTCTGTGCACATCCCCAGCTGGGATGGTCATGAACTGAATGATTCCAGATACCCCAGCCCTCCTAGAGTGGTTTTCAGTCTAAACTCAATAGATGCCAGTGTCTTCTAAGGTCATGTGCCACCCACATGAGGTTTTGTTTTACCTGTGAACCTTTCTCCCACACAAAGCATCTACTTTTTGGCAAAAAACAGTAACTTCTGCCATTGATTTGTAGCCCAAAAGATGTAGATGTCAGTCTGTTCCTAGAGTTCTTTGCTGTGAGTTATTCTGCCTCAGGCCGAGTCCTGATACCGACCTCAGATTGGGGCTGGCTTTTGTTGATGACCCTAAAGAGGATGCTGGAGTTCAACCCCCCTTTCTAAAGCAGGTGCTGAGGCTCTTCAGAAGAACCCTGGCACCTTCTGGGGAAGTACAAGTTCCCATATGGGACAGATTGTCCCCTTTCTTGCCATATGTGACCTTGGCCACGTTTCCTCAGCCGCTGTCTCTGGCCAGCTCGGGACTCACCCTCTCTGTGGAGTGCTTTTCTTGTTAATGAAGCCCTTTGGGATGAAGAACATCAAATATTCAGTGCTCACCAGTTTGCTACCCAGGTCCAGTTTGAAAGTCAATACCAAATTCTAGACGAGTGCTTTACCTAAACAGCAAACTTTCTGCCAGTGATAAGGGCTGGGAGAGCCAAGGCAGGGTAGCTCCTGTGATAAGGATCCCTAAATTCTGTTTCAGTAAAACTGAAGTGATGTTCTTTACTGCCTCTGCTGCTGTCATAATTATCTAACAGGGCAATTGCATCACCAGTCACAGAAGTCTGTCTTCTGAGACTGATGTCGTGCCTAAAAGTAGAGGCCACAAATCTGTTTCATGTCTTCTCTCCTTTGTGCTGCACTTAAAGGCAGTATGACCTTGTTTAAGGAAAGGAAGCTGAATCCTTATCCTAGACTTCAAAGAACTTTGCAACTGCAATTCCAAGTTTAAGATGATCTGGGGCAAGATTTGCCATCTCTGATCTTGGCTGGAAGACTGGCTGGTGTCTTGCCCTTTGGAACATCTCTTTTGGTGTAATGATGCTCCTCTGAAGATTTCCTCCATGGATCAAACCCGCTGTGGTTGCAGTGCCCTGCCACTCACATTCTCCATGGGGCAAGGGCCTTCACAGACAGTGCTTACACACAGCTCTTTGCATGGAGTCAGACATTGTTCCATGTCTGGTTGGATCATCCTGGGGATCTAACTCCTGCAAACTCTCCAGATGACTCTGCAGTCAAAAGCTGAGGCTTTAGAGAAAGGAAAAAAAGAAATACCAAATGTCACCTTACCCAGGCTAGTCCTTAGCATACCTTGGGGGAAGTTCTAAGGCTTAATACCAACCAGGGCTTCTCCACCCAGTAGTTTGCCGGGTTGGACAGGGCTCAGAGCAACCTGGGATAGTGGGAGGTGTCCCTGCCTATGCCATGGGATGGAATAAGATGAGCTTTAAGGTCCCTTCCAACCCAAGCCATTCTGTGACTCTGTGACAAAGACTTGCTTGTACATTTGGATGCATCTCTGTACTGGTGTCCAGTGGTCCAAGGTGGTGAACACCTGAGTCACATCCCCTTCCAGAAAATGCTCTCAGGTACGTCTGTGTGCACTTCCAGACACCTGTTTCACAGAATAAGATACTTCCTCTTCCAAAGGCACAGTCCACTTGCCTTTGCAGTAGATTCTACTTCGTTTTCCTGCTGACTTCTAACACACATCTGTGAGTCAAGGTGAGAGTTTTACTGGGAAACCCTTGATACCCAAGGTCAACAACCCTCGGTGCACCTGCTTCAGACACACCTGTGGCCTTCCAGGGCAGCACAGAATGCATGCAAAGGATCTTGGTCCTGACTTTCGTGGTGGACAGAACTGTCAACAAGAAGGAGGGTGCAGCATCATTTACATTCTGCTGGGAAACAGTGAATCTGTCTGATGCAGTAAGTGCTCCACTCACAGCTCACCAGCTGGCCTTTTGGAACACTCCAACAGGTAGACTGAGTTGTTTGGAGAGGAAGAAGTATTTTTTAGTGGATCGAAGGCCCCTTACTGGCCTCAGGGCATCTTGGACTAGGTCTTTAATTTACTTTTTGCATGCTGAGGGAGTACAAACCAGTACCATGTGTATCTGTGTGCTTCACATCTCTACCCCACCCATCGTTCCCCCCACCTGCTGCCTCTTGCCAGTTTGTCTGGACATGGTGTGCTTGTAGGCTGTGCTACATCTTATTTCAGAGCAGCAGAGTACCTTTGCCATCACAAATCCCCACAGGCATTCCTTTTCCCTAGACTCACCCCTAGACTGGAGGAGTTCTTCACACCTGATGTATCAGGAAGGCATTTTTAAGATATTAACTTAAAAAAGAGTAGTGTCAATATCCAACAGTTCCCAGGGGCTCTTTTGCTATGCCCAGCCTCTGAAAGTGGAGATCATCTGGTTCCAAGAACCACGAGGCTGCCCAGGTGGGCACCACCTTTGGGCCTCAGAGCCTTCTGTGTCAGGGGCCCTGGATAATATGTTGAGTGGTTACCTGGAGCTGGGCCTGGCTTTGGAGTTCACGCTGTTTTAAAAACATGTGGAAAATCCCTTGGCACAACACCTCTAGTTGCTGTTAGTGTGAAAGATTCCAGGCCCCTCTCCAGACAAATTGATGCTGTGGACACTCCAGCAAGGAATCCCCAGCAGTGTGAGCTTACTTGAGAACTACGGTTTTGAAGGTAAAAATGGAAGGATTATTTACCAGTAGAAGTAATTCCTTGAAATCTGCAGTCTGCATGCATTTTCACACTTGCTGGCTTTCCTGGAGTTCAACTGTTTATGTTCTGCTGTGAGAGGAGGTTGAAATGGCCCCATGTTTCCACATCTGCATGCACTATGTGTGTTCCACTGTGACAGAGGGACCTTAAACATTGCACCATCTGTGCCCTGGGCTTCACAGTGTTCCCTCAGTGCTGAGTGCTAAAGTCACCTGCAAAATTGTTACAGAGCCATTAGGGTTGGAAAAGCCCTCTGAGATCGTGGAGTCCAGATGTTAACCCAGCACTGCCAAGGCCACCACTGACCCATGTCCCCAGGTGCCTCATCCATGTGGCTTTTAAACACCCCTGTCCTGGGCAGCTGTGCCAGGGGTTGACCACCCTTTTGGTGAAGAAATGTTCCCAATATCCAACCCGACCCTCCCCTGGCACAGATGGAGACCGTTCCCTCTCCTCCTGTCCCTTGTTCCCTGGGAGCAGAGCCTGACCCCCCCATAGCTCCCCCCTCCTGTCAGGGAGTTGCAGAGCCAGAAGGTCCCCCCTCAGCCTCCTTTTCTCCAGGCTGAGCCCCCCCAGCTCCCTGAGCTGCTCCTGCTGCTCCAACCCCTTCCCCAGCTCTGTTCCCTTCCCTGGACACGCTTCAGCCCCTCAGTGTTCATACATGTGGACTGCAGTGTCAGAATTGTGTTTCTCTCTCCCAAGAGGTTTGCATTTATCTTGTCACTCTCCCAGGAGATTTGCATTATTCCTGGGAAGGGTGTGGAGCTTAATGTCCACTGTACTAAACTGCCCCTCAGCTGTTGCTTGCACACAACCTCGCTCCCTACTACCTGTTGCAAACCTGTAGAGATGCATTATTTATGCTTGCACTGTACCTCCATCCAGTTTTTACTTCAATATGATTGTCTAAATATGTAAATGAAACTACTAAAAGCCAAGTGCAGTCAGCTTGATCATCCATTGTTTTATTGTACATGAGACCTGATTATGGATAAGCACTAAATAGTAGGGAACAATTATTTATAGCAGGGGCCATTTGGGATGAAATGTTCTGTTGCAGTGTTTTGGGCACTTGAGAAGAGACTACATTGCTGAAGTAGCTGTTCCTTCTGCCTTTTCATGGAGTTGCAAAATGAAAACTGGAGGAAGAATGTTAATATGTTTAATAACTGCCATATACATCACAATCCTCTTGGATTTACAAGGTTATTTTTAAGTAATCTAATATTTATTTAAAACAAGCATTTTAGATTGTTCCCTGGGAAGGTGGGGAGGCCCTGGCACAGGTTGCCCAGAGAAGCTGTGGCTGCCCCATCCTGGAAGTGTCCAAGGCCAGGTTGGACGGGGCTTGGAGCAGCCTGGGCTAGTGGAAGGTGTCCCTGCCCATGGCAGGGGGTGGAACTGGATGGGCTTTAAGGTCCCTTTCAATCCACACCATCCTGTGGTTCTATAAATATGGTTTCCATGTCTTTGTTTGTGTTTTTCATTGTTCCAGCCAGTGGCTTATTTTGAAATCAGCTCAGAATTTTATTTACAAAGCTGGAAATCGAACAAGGTTGGTTTGGGTCAAAAGAAACATTTCCTGCAGGGCTTCTTTTATAGAACCTGTCTGTATAGGAATGTGTGTCTTTGGGGCCTAGAATGCCTGACATGTAGGTGTTTTCCTCTGGGAGTTACTCACTCTTGGAAAATAAATCATAATAAATCCAGGGGACAGCTCCAAAAAGTATAAAATGACACTGTAAATTGATGAAGGATTAAGAAGGTAAAATTTTCAAGAATCCCTTATTTTCTCTACCAGGGAAATAGGCACTTAGAGTAGAAATCTGGTGATTTTAGTTAAAAAACAAAAGGCTTCTGTATCACCCTCCTCATGTCCACTGGTTTGAGAACAAGGGAAGGCAGATGTGGGATAATTCAGGTCCCTTCTTCCCAAGTTGCCCTGCTCATCTCTCCAGCATTACCATTCTCTCTTAGGACACTAAAAAGGATCATTCCAACTATTTCAACTCCTTTGTTTTACACACTCTGACCATCTCCAAATTCTGCTGCTGCTTCCTCTGGCACTTGAGAATGTTATAGAAAAATCTCTCTTTAGACCCTCTGTTGCTTTCAGTGCCCTCAGCTCTGGCTCCCTGACAGCCACACTTCTCCAGTTTGGTCAGAATGAAGGGGAAATGAAATTTAATGTCTTCTTTATATGTGTATGTTTTTATTTAAAGAGGGGAAAGGAGAACTTGCTCCATCAAAAGCCATTTGCAGGGTTGTCAGTCGCATTTTGTCACGCAGAGATGAGCTGAGGAACATGTTATTTCCAGAGAAACAGTGACCTTCAGAAGGTGGTGTTCCTGCATTTCCATCTGCTCTGGTTGGCCCTTCAGCCCAAACACGAGCTGATTGTCTCATGCCTCTTCCTCCTTATCCTTTACTCCTTGAATTTAAAAAAGGCAATTTGGAAAGTGGAAAAATCAGAAGAGGATCTGAAACATGAAAAGAGACTTCAGCTGGGTGGTATAAGGGATTGTCTCCTACATGGTTCTCCTTCAGAGGTACTGTCTTGACTGCTTGGAATTCTGATCCTGATCCATATGCTGACCCCCAGGGAGTGTAGGAGAAGTCCCATCAGGCATCCTTCTCCTCAGCCATTCTGGAAATACTCCCACACTATCTTTCCTTATTCCTCTAGGAAACTTGGCTGCTTTACAGATGTTCTTTCTGTGTCTCGTGTGGATCCCAGACCTTTATTTCCCCCAAAATTTACATGTTACATGTTGTCCAGCCCCTTCATCCACTGCTACTCCTCCATTGGGCAGAATTTTCCCTCTTTGACCTGCCCCATTCCCCCCTCAGCACATACAGTATGTCCTCAATGGGTGTAATTGGATCTGATAGGGAAAAATTGACCCTTTTGTCTTTCCTGACTACTTCCACTTTTAGTACTCATGTTATGTGTAATAATCTTTTTTTAACTTAAGACTCTGTTCTTAATCACCTTTTGGTCCTTTCCATTCTATCCAGTTTCCTCACCATCCTGCTTTTAGTAATTTCTTACGTCAATTCATTAATTATTTTATAGGCTCAATGCTTTATTTCTTTCAGGACCAAGATGTAACATTGCATTTCCTGCTACTTAGAATAAATTGGAATATCTTCCTTCTAAAATTTTGTGTCCCTTGACCAGTGACCTCAGCAAATCCTGTGGAACTGGACTCAATGATCCTTGTGGGTCCCTTCCAGCTCAGGAGATTCTGTGATTCCTTACACATGTTGGGATCTATCTGACCCCATAGTAGCCATTTTACAATGCTGAATTATTTTCATTTTCTTGATGAACTCTCAGTAATCTGATGTCTCCGGGCTAGGACTAACTCGTTATGCAGCTCCATGGCACTGGGTATTTTCTCTTGGGTTAGAGTCAGAGTAGTAATTTTGAAGTAGAAAACCAGATTTTCAAGATGTTCCCCAAGGTTTTGCTTACTCGTACACTAGAAAACAAATGAAACTGGTGGCACCCAGTGAAGGTTACACTGTGTAGAATGAAAATGTGCCTGCTGTGTAAACAGAGCTATCTAAGTGTTCAAAAAGTAATGGCAGGGAAAATATGTAAAGGCTTGGAATACAAATGTGTGTGGGAATGTGTGGAACAGTGGCAGTAGGGCAGCCCCGTGTTCCTGAGCCCCGGCTGCTCTTGCATAAATCAGGAGTAAATAAGATACGGCTGTGGATTGTAATCTCTTGAAAGCAGTGTATCGCTGTTTAAAACTCACTTTAATCCTTGCAGACCAGTAATGGAGGAGGGAGTTTAAGTGATTATTCCTCCTCTGTCCCATCAACTCCAAGCACCAGCCAGAAGGAGCTGCGGATTGATGTTCCTCCCACTGCCAACACTCCAACTCCTGTCCGTAAACAGTCCAAGCGTCGATCCAACCTCTTCACGGTGAGTGAGTCAAGGGAGGGACTGCTGCTGAGCTGTACGTGCTGCTGTGGAGGTGGCCTGAGCTTCAGCCCTCTGGAGCTGGGCTGGTCTAACCCACACAGGAGTGTTGAGATGGATCTGTGGGCTTGGAAACGAAACCATTTTGTGGTGAACGTTGGGTGGGTCTGTTTGAGGCTCGAACGGGAATTCAGTACAGGGAGTACACAGGAGGGCCTTCCCTGGGAACACAGACTGGGAGAGCTCAGCCTGGACAAGGGAAGGGTCCAGGGAGACCTTAGAGCCCCTTCAAGTGCCTAAAGGGGCTTCAAGAGAGCTGGAGAGGGACTTTGGACAAGGGCCTGGAGTGAAGGGTCAGGACAAGGGGGAATGGCTTCCCACTGCCAGAGGGCAGGGTTAGATGGGATATTGGGAAGGAATTCCTTCCCTGGGAGGGTAGGGAGGCCCTGGCACAGGTTGCTCAGAGAAGCTGTGGGTGCCTCTGGATCCCTGGAAGTGTCCAAGGGCAGGTTGGACAGGGCTTGGAGCAACTTGGTCTCATGGAAGGTGTCCCTGCCCATGGCAGGGGGTGGCACTGCATGAGCTTTAAGGTCCTTTCAACTCAAACCATTCTATAACTACCCCATGCTACTTTTACTACTATACAGAATCAACCCACTTTTCTTTTCTAGAGTTAAAAAAAGATGGTGGAGAGTAAAATATCTTGGGGTTTTTTTCTTCCCAAACTACCTGGTTTTTGCTTCCCTGAGAGGCAAAAAATAGAAATGTCTGGTGCAATATGAGAGATCTTTGTTATGCAGAAGTAGTTTGGGAAGTGATAATGAAGCCTTGAATGATGATTCCCTTAGTTTAGCAGTCTTGCTGAAAGCTCTGGGATGGTGTTGAGTGTGTAATTGTGGTTTGTAAGCAGTTCTTTGACAATTAACATGCTTTATGGCAAACTCACAGTCCCTGGGGGCTCACGACCAAGTCCCTTGGTGATTGAAGGTGCACACTAGTTGAGCTTAGAAAGGCACAGCCTCGCTGTCATCACAAGGAGTTGATATATTTTATTCCAGAGGTGCTGCCATGTTCACTTCCCACATACAAAAAGGATAAAACCATTTCCTCACACTCTAAACAAAACCTGAGCTCTTGGCCTTTATGGAGTAGAAAGTTTCGGTGCTGTTTCGGAGCACGGAGTGACAGCACAGAGCCCCTGGGATCCCGTGTCCATCCCAGCAGGGCCATTTGGATGTGAAATGGGATCCTCGGCTCCCACAAAGGAGAGAAAATCACCCAGTTTGTGTTTGGGTGCAAAGTGAGTGGTGTGTGAAGAGGTGCCCCCAGCGTGGACGCCGGTGTTTGAGCGCGGTGCTGTGGATTCTTCCTGGGAATACTCCGGAGTTCCCAACCCCACTAGGTGTCAGTGTGAGCCCAGAAACCAGCCCAGGCAGAGCTCTGGACAGGGCTGGGAGCCACCACGTCCCTCAGAAGCAGCACTGAGCAGGCCCGGGCTGAAGGATGAACTAAACACTGTCAGGGCTCTAGGGGTGGTGTTGACACTGGGGAATTTGGGGCTGTTTTAATCTGGAGCACGTGTAAATTTGAGGAAGTGAATCGCAGAAAAGATTTGAGAAGAATGTTAAGTCAGCCATGAAAAAATAGACCAAAGCTCTGGTCTGTGGTAATTAATAACATAGTGAGAGCCAAATTTACTAGTACGAGAGGGTGTTGAGAGTTGTCCCAATGTCAGATAGCTGGGGGAAAACTGGAGGAAAAACAAGTCTCATGGAAAAATAATGATCATAATTTGACTTTTCAGAATTAGTTCTGACTTTTAGATCTGGGTGTGTTGAAGGCTGTGTAGTGAGTTGCCCTGTAGTCTCTGTCCTGAAGTACTGAACACCCACCCTGCTGCAACCCAGATTTTGTGCTGTATCAGTCAGGTGATGACCTGGGATTATTTACTTGAATAAACAGATGACCAGTATTTTCTGTGTAGTTATGAACAGAGTGCGTAATCAAAATATTTAGCTCTGGATTTCTTGCTGTGCTTCTCTTCCCAGCCTGGAACTTGCTTATGCCTTTATCACTTACAGAATCAAATGTGTTTCTGTTTAATGATTGCAAGTTACCCCTTGTTATCTAGCACAGGTAATCTTTTAGTGACCTACAGATCTTTTAGTGTTGGAAGAAAATTGTGAAAAGAAGAAAACAGATATGATTTCTTTTAATGACAGTTTTTGAGTTGGAATAGTGTTTGAGAATTTTAAGCACGTTCACGTTAAGTGTGTTAAATGCAGCATCTGATGTTTTTGGCTTTGATTATTAATGTTTGTTGTAAAGCTATTGTTGCAGCAGCTGATTTTTCACTTAGGTGATAAAACAGATCAAATATTAGCAGAAGTCTTAATGTCCTTTTTTTTTGGCAGTGTGATAACAGGGATCACTAAATAATAGTGTGTAGGGCAGGTGGAGATTTAAACTGCATCTGTGGGGTCCACTTCAGCGAGGAATTGATTGTAAGTATGTCTGATCCTGTGTGGGGTGAGGGAATTTGTGGGACAGTAAGGTGCATCTCCCTTCCCATATTCAGTATTACCTCTCTTATACATTTACAGAATTGCAGGAGTTTTTTCAAACTTAAACTCTCTGTCTCAATGTCTGCTATTAGAGGTCAGGATTCTTACTTTTGGGGTGCTCTGCACTGCTGATCTGGGTCTGGTTGGGCCCAAACTCAGACGCTTTATCCCTCTGGAACTAAATCTCACTCCACAGCCCATACTTGGGTCAAGTTTTACACTGATTAAGTCTGTGTATGAATTCTAGTGCAAAGGGGAAATCAGTCAACTGATATTCGTGCAGGTGTTTTAATTTTTCCAGACTTCTGGTTCTCTGGCATGAAGTTTTAAACAGAGCAATTTAACATGTAGATATGCCATCAGAAAAAGCCCTAACAAGTGTTGATCCAGCGTGGTGTAGAGTCTGTTTTTTTTTATGCTGTGGGATGTGAGATGTATCGTGTGTGTCGTAGGTACAAAAGCATAAAAGCTCAGACCAGATCTTTGTTTCACTGTGCGATTTGTCTTTATAAATAGCAGAGCCTGCTAAGATTCTCCCCTGGAAAATGTGATTACAAGCAGCTAGAATAGAATTTGCCTAACAGAAAGCCCTATGTTTCTATACTTTTGCCATTGGACAATGTTTTACACGTAGATATTTCCCTTCCACGTGCAAGCGTGTTATTTCCAGATGCAGTTATTGCACGGAAGGGAAGACGGGGTGATTTAAAACCAAAAAGTGAAAACAAGCACGTAGATATTCAGCTTGCATTTCAGAGGCAGGCTCCTTTCTTTTTAAAAAAATGGGATAAAAAAGAAACATTCAAGTTGACAACTCCCCTCCCAGGGATTTGGATACCTTCACTGAGATTCTTTACAATGTCACTTACGGGCTCTTTGCCCCATTGAAGCTTTGTTTTGCCTCGTATTCTTGGGAAGTGGCACTTTCAGAGTCAGAAATCTGTCTTGAAGGACGGGGAACAATAGTTATCCTGCACATTGGATTTCATCCCTCCCACTTGTTTCGCTTTCTTTCATTTATTCTTTGTTTAATTCCCCGGCACGTCATTCCATTGCCGCGATCCATAGTAACTGGTGAGAGGAGCCCGTTCCCGGCGGAGCGGGGAAGGCAGCATGGGATCCCCGCTGGGTAAATGTGTTCTTAGAATGCTGCTACTTGAAGTCTTGCTCCGTGGGTTCCCCCTCCCCTTCCCTCCTCTCCCGCCCGAAGGCAGCTGCTCCGGGGGTTTGTTCCTCCTTCCACTTCTCCGTGGAATATGGAAAATGGGTATTAGCGACGCACCGTCCTCATTGTCCTCCTGATTTCAGTGTTTCAAACATCTCTTTCCACTGAAAATGAGAAGCATCGCCCCGGTTTTCATTAACTCCCCATTGTGGCACTGGACATCACAAATGGGCTCCTTTCATGTATCATCTCCCGAGTTGAAAAGCACATGAAAATGTTTTCTCATTTTCGATATTGTGTGAGTAATGTTCCTATTGGAAAGTAATGGAGTGAAGTTGTCACTTGTCAGTTCAGTTATTAAGGAGGATGACTCTCAGGTCTTCTTTTTGTAATAAAATAAATCTGTCAAAATCATTACGTCCGTGTGTTCTTTGGCAATAACGGGCTGCAATCTGAATATCTGCTTAAAATCCCATACAACTCGATAAAGTCGGGGGGTGAGCACTGTGACCCTACTCCTACATCAGCTCCAGCCTTATGGAACGCCAAGAGAAAGCAATTCCAGTTTAAACATCTTTTAAATTCACCTCATGCTGATTTTTTTCCCACATTGTGTTCAAATAACTTTTTCCAGCATCAATCCCCACCTTTTCTTGCAGCTCCAACTTTCTAACCCTCCCAAAGTGGAAAGAACTAATAAGTTAAAGTCAGTGTGATCAAAACTGGCATCGTAAAATTGTATTTCTAAATAGTTGATAACGTTTCTAAGAACCACACAGGTGTGAGTTAAATGTATGCATGGATATATTCAACTTTTTTAATGAGGAGCTGGAACTTTCATTCCTCATCGGAGCTGCTGTTGGAAACTTCAGAAACGTGTCCTCTGATCTGCTGGGTCTTCAGACACTGAAAGTGTAACTCTTTAAACCCAAATACATCTCAAACTAGTGGATGTTTGAAATTTATGGGTGGTATCTTATTTATTCAGATTTTAGGATGGTCTCGTATTTGTGTAGATTCATCTCACGGCTTTCGAGTCTATATTTATGTGTGACATTATATTTTAATTGCTTGGAAAAAAAAAAGGAAAAAAAAAAGCATCCTCCGTGTGAACCTGCTGCATTTAATGGAGCACAAACTTTCTTTTTGCTCTGTAGTCTCGGAAAGGGAGTGACCCAGACAAAGAGAAGAAGGTCCTGGAGAGCAGAACAGACAGCATTGGAAGCGGCCGCGCAATCCCAATTAAACAGGTAATGCCGAAACACTCGGGTTTTTTTGTGCCGCTTGCCGGAGTTGGGAGCCACACCTCGGGTCTCACACGATCCTGCGGCAGGGGCCGCGCGCTGGGCACCCTTTGATGTGCTCCGGTGATGAATGTGGAAGTCACTCACTTGACATCAATTAGGAGAGGTTCCTGTGTGTATTAAAATAGGATCATTAGAATAAGAAGAGGGAAAATGTGACAACAGGCCTAATGAAGTGCAGTCTGCCGGCCTGCATATGGAGCGCGTTTCCAGGCTGGGCTGCCTTCAAAGCCGCCTTTGTAGCGGGCTTTGATTGGGCCGAGTGCTGCCGGGCTCAGGGTGAATCACATCGCTCCACAAGAGCCCCTTGTGATGGAGCAAGAGCCTGATGTGGCCCTAATTTGCTGCCGCAGACGGACATCTGAACGCGGGGCCAGGCTGGTCCGCGCCGGCGAGGCAATTAGTGCCGGTAATCACGGCCGGTGTGTCAGCTGCGCGCGCCTGTTTGTAATTTGCTAATGAAGGAATTGTAACTTTGATTAGGTTCAGTTTCATTTAGACCTTATTATATAAGAGAACGTTTACAGCTGTAATGGGTGGCCTTAATTAAACTTTCTCATTACACAACAGGGCTTGGATTGGAGGATTTGTTTTGGTCTGTTTTGCTGGCCCGGACGCGCTTTCATTAGCCCAGAACGCTAAATTGGAGCTGTGAACGCTCCTTTGAAAGGCAAAAGCAAGGCCAGTGTTAGATAGCAAGTGTCTGGGGAATGAGGTGATTTGCTTTCTCAAATGCAATGACACCAAGTCCACGTGGTTGATATTTGCCTCACGAATAGTTTCTCTGTTAGTGTTTGCAAGTATTTACTGAGTTGCCTTGCTGGAGAGAAGTGCTCAGGGAAGGGAGCTGATTTCCTTCCCACACGGTTTCTCCAGGTGTTCTGGTGCCTGTCCTACCCTCCAGAGGCTCACTTGTCTCTCCTGATCTTTCCTCAGTCCGTGCCAGGTAGCCCTAGGTCTCCTGTGTGAAGGTGGCTTTACATATTTTGGGGTGTTTCATGTTTTTCCTCTTTTATTTCTGGGTGTGAGGGGGAGATGATTTTGTACCCTTAATTATCAACAGTGATTTTTCTTCTTCCAGTCGTTTCAAAAGACCTTTTGGGACCATCAGGCAGCAAAAATGCTGTGGTGTGTGAATCTCTAGTAGGCAGATTTTAATCAAGCACACTGCAATCCAGAAGAGCAGTTTGAAAGCAGAAAAGCTCAGTATTTGGCTCTGCATCCAGGGGAGGAGATTCCAGGCATTTAAAACAAGCTGCAATTTTATTTTCCTACAGTGTTGGTATGGTACAGGATGGGTTAGACCGGCTGGAATTCTTTTGGGGAATGCTAATTAAACAAAAGTGCAGCTGAGAGTGACAAACTGAGGAATACGTGTGCCAATATCCCAGGCATATGTACTGTTCTTTTCTGAAATGCTGTTGTATGGAATGAATCTGATTAAAAATGAACTCGTAGGAAGAGCAGTGTAAGATAAACATTTGTGAGTGTGATTGCACCACAATGCAATGTTGGAATGAAGTACCCCTCCAATCTCTCGAATTTCTGTTAGCAAAAATTCTCCTTGCAACCCTGGTTGTATCCTAAATATGACCAATCTTTTGGGAATGTGTACTGCTTGTTATTAATTATATTAACCCCAGTTGTGGTGGTTCCATTTTGTCATATACAAGCAATTATCAGCACAGATTTGACGCATGTTGTTGGCAGACCCGTCCTGTTGTCAGGGTCCAGGGAGGTTGGGTGGTTTGCAGTGCTGTGGGATGGCTGTTCTATGTGGGATTTCACATTGTTCTTGGATGCCAAGGGAAGGGATTTGGGGAGGGCTTGTGGGTAGAGGTGGCCCAGGTTCCGTTGTGATACAGCTGCTCCCGGTGGGCTCTACAGGTGCCACATGTGCAGACGTTTCTCTGAGGCCGCAGAAACTCCTGCTGGAAGAGGGGCTGGCTCTTATTTCACGTACCTTAACTGCAAATAAGGTGGAGGGATGTGAAAGGGACCTTCTTGACTTAAAAGTTTTAGCATGTTGTGCTTTTTAGGGTGGGAACCCCCTTCCGTCATGACACGTTTTCTCTGACAAACGGTCAGGGAATCACAGAATCATTTAGGTTGGAAGAGCCCCCTAAGATCAGAGTCCTGCCATTCCCCTGGCACTGCCAGGGCCATCACTAACCCTTGTCCCCAAGTGCCACATCCTCAGAGCTGTTAGAGCCCTCCAGGCACGGGGACTCCACCACTGCCCTGGGCAGTTCCAACACCTCATCTCCCTTTGCATGAAGACATTTTTTCCCAATATCCAATCTAAGCCTCCCCTGGAACAACTTGAGGCCATTTCCTCTTGTCTTGTTTCTTGTTACTTGGGACACTTGGGAGTAGGAAGGGAAGTGATGTTTCATGAAGCTGAATACAGACTGTAACATTCAGAGGAGAATGATCTTATTGCATCACTGAAAGACTTGTCCTCCTAATGCTTTGTCACCTTGTTTTCCAGGGTTTGTCCCCTGCTGGCCTGAAAAAAAGGAACTTATGGTTGGAACTCATATATACTGGATTTTGTGTTCTCAGTTCACTGCTACTTGAAATAACTGTAATTACCAAAAAAAGGGGGGTGGGGGGGGAATAGAAAAGAGTCTTGCTATTCTGCTGTTGAAATCAGTGGCTTGGTTATTCAGTGTATTTTGTGGTGCCTCTGTGTTGTTCTTTTCTACCCAGGGTCTCCCAAAAATGAGAAATACTATTTCCCAAATAAAAGTAAACATAAAAAAACCCCACACACAAATAAAAAAAATTCTGCAAAACAAAACCAACCAACCCAAAACACACTCAAACAAAAGACTCAAACAAACAAGAAAACCCCAACCGAAGCAAGTCCCTTGGAGAGTGGGAATGTTCTGGCTTTGAGGAAAGAAATGAAATCTCTCCCAGCACTAGAGAGGCACAGGGAGGGGGGGAGGAAGAGCTGATATTAGCCAAGTGGTTTTGTGTGTGATGGGGAAAGCAAAGAATAAATGCAGGGGAAAATCAGTTCTCTGGGAGATGCAGTAAATGTGCTTATGAGAAGTTTGTCCTTAGCTACAGTTTTTTCATAGATCAGGTCTGTGTTGCTGCTGGAATGAAGAGTTGCTGCTCGTTCTGTGTTACAGCCTTTCTGGGCCCCAGCTGCCGACCTGCACAGGGGCTTTTGGTCAAAATAAGCCAAGAGCTGCAACCTCCTCCTGCATTCCTGTTCCTGGTCCCTCATCCCTGGGAGTTTGAGGGAAATCCCGGAGAGTTTGGATGGTGCCCTGAGCAACCTGGTCCAGTGGAAGATGTCCCTCCTGCCTGTGGCAGGGGGTTGGAACTGGATCATCTCTAAGATCCCTTCCAACCCAAACAATTCCAGAATTCTGTGAATAGGTCAAACTGTGAACGGCACATTTCCTTCCAAGGAAACACCTTGTTCCTTCAGGGCTTATCCTTAACTCAGAGCAGTCTGGTTGAAAACAGTTAGTGCTCTTATTCTGTCTGTCCTTTCCACATGTTAGAATTGACTTTTCACTGCAGTGCTAAATATGGTTTTATTGGCCTAAGCCCTATAAAACTGTCCCAAGGAACCTTCCTGCTCCCAGCAGAACCCCACAATGTAGGCACTGAAAATAGGCATGTTTTTAGAACGTGGCTGCTCAGTCCTCCCAAGGTACTCTTAAGGTCAGGGAAATTTTGGGAAGGCAAGGGGAGGTACCAATACCTTGTGCGTGCACAGCCATAGCAGCAGTTTTGGAGAACTGTGGATGCCAGATTTTTTCCAAAACCACAAAAATTCCCAACTAAATAACCTGTACAAATTAAATGGAGTCAGAAAATGTCTGGAACAATATTAGCTCAGAGTTAAAATCCATAGAAGGTTCTGTGCTTCTGAGAAAGAGGCACCTAAACTAAAAATATTTATTTTTTTGTAACATTGCTGATACTATTCTTAGAGTGAGTGGTTTGCTGTGGTTGGAAAATCCTCCCTTCAAACCCATTTCTTCTGGAAATGAAGACTCATTCCTGGGTGCCAGAGTGAATATTTTGAAGAATATTTTGAGGCACACATTAATGTGCACAGTTTAAGGGACCAGACTTTCTAGAACGGGGGCTGGAGTTGTAACTTTTTTGAAAAAGAACTTTGGTTTTTGTGGATTTGGGAAATCTTTATCAGTAGGGCATATTCAAATTTAGAAAGAAAAAAAAAGGCACAACAAGAAAAATAAAAGCAAGAAGCTCAGCTCAGCGGTGAGGGGGCTTGTCATGTATTAATTTTTCATTGCTGTGGAGAATTGTACATACATAATCACTTGATTGCAGTGGGAGTTAGTGAGCTCCTATGGTGTCATTTGCATAAATCTTGTTAAGTCAATGGCAGTTAATGAAGTACAAATGAGCCCGGAGAAGGTGACATGCAAATCGTGGGTGGCAGATGGGAGGTCTGTTTTTGGGATGGCAGCTGTGTGCTCTTTCTTTTTTTTTTATGATTTTTTTTTCTCTGCTGCCCCCATCCCCCAGATTGGAGTGTAAATAAATACATAAGAGCTGGCCTTGACTTTCTGCTTCCAGCCCTTCTTCTCTTTGCCCTTTGCACTTAATCACAGATGCTCATATCATTATATACTCCAGCTATATAACCTTGACTGCTCTTTTACCAAAAACTGGTCAAAATAGCTGTTTGATAGGTTGGTTCAACCCTTGGCGTACCCAGGGAGGTGCTGCACCTCCTGTGCCCCCAGATTCCTGCACCCTTTAGGTATAACAAACTTGAAGCCTGGATTAGAAATAAATGTTCTAGTGGTTAATGTTACATTGATGACACAGTGAAAAATTTGCCATCCATGACTTGCAAAGGTGAACTTCAGAATCCATTCCCTTCCCTCAGTTTGCAAATGGCTGGATTAATGGAGAAAGTAGAATATCTTATTCAGGCTTTACTT